TGCCAAGATGTTCACTTCGAGGCCTGCGGCGTTCTGGCATGGCCAGTATGCTGTCGACGTGACTCCGAAGCAGGGCGGGAGCCCCCCCCCCCCCCCCCCCCCCCCCCCCCCCCTCCTCTCTTCCTCTTCTCCCCCCTCCCCCCCCCCGCGCCCTGGGGGCGCCCCCGCCCCCCCCTGCTCTCTGCCTATGACAAGCTATTGCTCCAGGCACGACGTTCATAGTACATCTTGTCCCCTTTTTAAGCAAATTGCCTGCAAATGTTTTGGCACTTCTGCCATCCATCAATAGGTACATGCCTGCTTCCATCGCGCCCCTTAAAAATGAAAGCCAGTGGTACTATCTAATATGCCGGACCATACCTCGTATACTCCACTAACGAGTCTAGGGAGTCGCCTACGCCTACTCCCTAACCCTAACCCTAACACTAACCCTAACCCTAACCATATCAAATAGTTACCAGGGTACGTTCCGGTATACCGGACCGTACCCAGGGTACATTCCGGCAGTACCTTGGGGGACATAGACCCTATGACTATGAGCTCTAGTATTATAGCCCGCGTGATAGTCTGAAAATGTGCACAGTAGGCCTACACAGACTACAGTACAACACAGCCAGGCACAGTGTAGCTCTAGTACTATAGCCCGCGTACATAACCATAAATGTTGCAGACCTGGAGTGTCAATTACGGCCAGCGATGTAAATTTTATCCCCCCCCCCAAACTGGTAGATATTGCCCCAGGATGTACTAAAACTGTTTTATTAATACATCCTTTTTATGGAGACAGCTCATGTTAAACCACTATATACATGCATTACAAAGTCAGTAGAAGTGAGTACAGACTGAGGAATGCCCCTAATTATCACTTCTAGTATCATTTTTGTCGGGAAGTATATTTTGCGAAAGCATGCTCTCCTGAGTTATAAGACTGGTTTAATGATGTAGACATGAAAATGAGTAAGATACAATGCTCACCAGCTCTTCCTGTAAGACTTGTGTAACATAGTGATTGAAAAAAATGAGCTCAGCCATGAAGTAATTAGGAGAGACAGGTCAGGAAAATTACAAGGTAACAAAAGAGGAGACAAATTCACATATATGCAGTTGTAATCACCTTTTTTTTTTGAGTTTGTTTGAAAATTGTATAATGGACTGATGGATGTGAATTGTTGTCACTATAAGTATAAATAATTTACCTTTTAAATTTCAGATGAATCATGTAAGTTATTACTAGATATTGTAGAATTGTCGGTTTCTCTACTTGTATACAACAAAATTACCCCTACTTATCTTTCATAACCGGGTCCTACAGAGATGCCACAGAATCGACCAATAAGTGTTTTAGATTTAAATAATACTTTAGGTTACATCTATCTCTTTTACATTTCTTTGACTCATGCCCTTGTAACTGGTGGTTAATGTGCAAGCATTCTTTCAGTTAAAGGGACAGTAGCCTCTAGGATTTTACTGCATACAACTGTACTTACTGTATAACAAATCGTCTATACCCACACGTATTTGTTACCAGATACCGGGTTCTTGTTAATAGCCGGTAACCGGTTATTTT